AAACAGGTGGAAGTACAAAATTCAATCGCTACTCCTAGTTCCATGGCAACAGGTTGGTCAACACATGTTGGTAATGTTAGCTATGATATTCCTTCTGATATTGCACAAATCGGAGAACCAATAAAGCAACTTGTTTTAGACACATATCCAAAACAATGTAACAGAGCCTTTGTTTCCAATTTGTTCAAGCGTTATAAATGGTTGCAATATTCTGTCAAGAAAGATGCTGCTTTTTGCAATCCATGCCAGCAATTTCTACCTCATGGAAGCAAACAGACTTCGTACACTTCCACAGGATTTGCGAAGTGAAGAATTGCCACTGATTCTAAAACTGGTTTTCCAAAATATGAAAAATACATTTCTCATTTTCAAGCTATGTCGATGTGGCAGGAGACATCTAGCAGTGTTTGTTGAAACATTAATAAATCAAAAAGTATCAGAGAAATATAGGTATTACGTGAAGTATATCATTGAAGTAATACAATTTCTAATTGTCAACGAATTAGCTTTGCGTGGAATTATATTTTAGAAGAAGAAAAAGGAAAAGAATTGTTTCAGAATTTATTTGAATACACATGTATATAAGATACAAATTTGAAAGAGGTTCTCACTCACCACAAAACACAACATATCGTTCCATTGTCGAAGATATTAATGAAACTGACGTGAAAAGGTTTACTCTAATGGGAGATGGGACTAGAAATAAAAATAACTGCGCGAAAATATTGCATTAGCAATACGTTACGTCAAGGATGGGATCGTCAATGAGTCCTTGCTGATGGTTGAGATTACTGGAAACCTTGATGCAGCCACTTTCACGGAATTAACGTTAAATACTCTTACGGAAAATAATATTGACCCCTCTTGTATGCTTAGCCAATGCTATGATGGCGCTGCTGAAAATAGATCATCTGACGACCCTCCAGATCAAGATTATCGAAAAACTGTTTCAACACTCTTATTAATAAATTGATGTAATGGAGTTCTCCTATTCTCAAAAACTTTCTCATTGTTCCTGAATCGACGATGAAGCACAGCAAAAAATGCCGATTAGATAATTCACGATCGGGGAACGAATTGCTGTAGCGTTGGAGTGCTCTTACGCTATTTTTCTGGCAAACCAAGTAGGATTCTAACATATCACATTTTTTTATGGAAAAACGGCATTATAAAATATATTCGAACTATAGTTGACAGTTACAATAATTTATGACATTGTCATGATATACTTGTTAGAAATCACACGTTAAAAGGTTAGACCTCGTTAGAGCTTAGCTCGCATAGATGATGAAGGTCTATAGTTATTTGAAAGATTTTTCTTGCCCTTTTTGGGAATAGGCTGAACGCGATTAATCTTCCAACAAGCAGAAAAAACCCCTTTCTTTCAAGAGTCTGCATAATAGTGGTACGAGTTGATTCGCGCACTAACCCGTTGCAATAGTATTTCATCGGGCGATGCCGGGTGGGGCTAGCATCTACCATCTTGGAAGTCATTGGAAAACGAATCCACATGTTTCTTGATTTTATATCTATTCTAGAAACACGTGGATTCGTTGTCCGATGACATTCCAGGAGAGCTTCCTAAATGTCTGCCAATGCAGTTATTTTCATCAAGTACTGTTCTTGATTCTTCATATTATGTCTTCAATCGAGGACCGCCTGCCCGGTAGTGATGATGCCCAACAAGCTGAAACAGCTGCTTACCGGTGGCTCTTAGATTGAAATAAAAAAATAGAGTATTGCTCGTAATCAATTTCTATACAATGAATGATGAAAAAACGTTCATAAGAGTCACATTAATGAAATAAAAATACCATATCTAATTATTGTGTTCATTCGGGTAGTGGCCGGTTTATTAACGTGAGTAGTTTGTTGTACTCAATCAATCAACCAAAAATACACATTTCATTTCATGTTGATTGAGTTTGATATTGAAACCAAATGAACCTCACACCACCTCGCGACTTTAACCTGGCATAACGTCGTACGACCTTTATCTATGTGCACGTCATAGACCTTGAAGACCCTAAACGGCTTCGAAATATGAGCACGTCGTATACCCTTGAGCAGGGAGTTTGACCTTGACGATCGAATCTGTCTTTGATACATTACCTTGAGCTTGTGCCACATCATATGTCCTTGAATTGAAACCTCGTAGCTTCACTTCGGATTGGATTGGGTTGTTCCCTTATAAGAGTTGTGGATGTGAATATTTCACTCATTTCAATTTCTTCTCATAATCGTCTGTAGTGTACGTGTAGTGAATATAGAAATAAACTTACTCGGAGTAATAACCTGCGTCGTCATCAGCGGGATTCGTATACTCCCGTGAATAATGAAAAGCCATCAACATCGAAGAGGTGGAGGTTGAACCCTCCGACATCTCCAGAAATACATACATGTATGTGCTACACTTCGACTATTGCAAGCGATCAGATGAATGTACATCGGAGAACTTTGCAGCATCGAACAAATGCAAGTGTTCAATATGGAAACGGTGTTAAAATCATGCGCATATCATTCAAGTGTAGAATTGTGAGCTTCAAGGTGGAAAGTCGAAACCACCTTGCGGATTACCCCACATTCTTCAATGAATTGAAACAAAAAGTTTTCAAACTACTCGAAGAAGTGTTAGTGATCCATAAATGTGTGAAGGTTATTATGATGGTGTTTGGACGTCACTATCTTCAAACTGGGGAGCTTTCAGAAGTAAAAGCATTCAATAGTTCCAATTGAGTTGCTGATAAATCGAATGATTTGAATGTTGTTTATTACACTTTTGTTGATCGTTCAACTGCCCAAGCAATGGAATTTCATGATCGAAATGTTTCAGGTATCTGATGTATTCACAACATTGCTGATTCAATGTGAAGACGAAATATATTTTCAGGTTATACTATCAAGGAAATTATATATATGGAGGTGATTGTTAATAAGTATAGCCCCCTTGGGAAGTCTTCTTATATCAAGTTACCCAAATTCATCGAGTTGAAAAAAAGTGTGTTGTGTACTGTTTCGCGTGGGATATGACTTCAACTTTGTATCCTGCCAGTGTGACCCCCACTTTTCCATCGTGTTGAATGTAGCAGATATGGGCTTTCCAGTTGTGTTGAAAGACACTCCTAAATTTGAGATTTTGGATCCTGCTAATTCTCAAATCGTACCTATCTTCATGAATCATACGCTTTTGCATATCTTATAAAGGGCTCTTTTGATTATTATATTTCTAAACTTGTATTGTATAGAAGGGCCGATGCATTTGAAGTGTTCGTTTGTAGACTGACGTCACCAATATAAGTCACAAATAGTTGAAAAATATCGTCCCGATGAACCTCTTGATTGCCAAGGAAGAGGATAATTATAATATTTCTACTTCATGTGGTATTTGTGGAAATACATTTGAAAAAGATAATATTGAAGTGTGTGACCCCTGCCATTTAACGAGAAAAAAAGCTATACATTCCGTTTGTAACCTCAACTTCAAATTGCCCAGATTCATTTCGATTCTCCACAATTTCAGTGGGTCGCTTATTCAGAAGAGATTTATGCACCAATAAGAGTAATGTTGATGCCATTGCTCGAACTAAAGAGAAATATGTTTTTTTCATGACATATTCCCTCATAGAACACAAATTGGATCAAAATGGGCAAATTGAAAAAGAATTTTTGGAATTAACCTTCCTTGATAGTTTTAAGTATATGACAGCATCTCTTCAAGAATTGGCCAATAATTTAGATGAAAAACACTTTGTGGAAACGAGAAAACATTTTCCAGAAAATGATGAGTTTCAGCTTATGAGGCAGAAATGTGTTTTTCGTAAAGCTTCATTGTGATTGGAAACATGAAGGATGAACTTCTGAATTACTCCATATCAATTTCCATGGCAACGATGCCAAAGCGTATGACATTCAAGTGTGTCAGTTGAAATGAACAAAGTATTGAACAATCCATCATTAAAAACCAAATTCCAATTCGATTACTTCAGGATTGTTGAAACAGGTGGTGCGATATTGCGAAAGATGAATTCAGTCAGGAGTGATTCACATAATATTTATACGTTGCTATGCAATAAAGTCGCTCTGTCAAATAAGGATGATAAACGATTAATAATTCATTACTCCACCAAGACATTACCTTGGGGCCATAACAATATTTAATTCTATCAAACGAGCATCCAAAAAAATCTTTGATGATTCTTTTGAATGTATTGAAAAATGGGAACAATATCACTGATGAAAATCTAGATCTACTCATAACATTATTTGAAGAGCAATCCAGTAATTTAATATTGAATTCATTTTTTTTTGTATCCAACAACTGGAAAATTCATACGTGTCAGAAGATTCAAACAAATTGTTCTACCCCACTTCCAACCTCAATAGAAGTAGGCGGGGCTTATGACCTTGAAACACGAGAAGGAGGTCACAGCTCATCATTAGATTGCAGTAGTCCATCGAACGAACTTGCAGTGACGCAGCCAAGTCAAGTGACGAAGTCAAGCCAAGCGACTGATCAATTCGTCGATTCTCACTTAGCAGTTGAAAGCGGCTCGATATGAGTACACACTACTATACTAGTCATATTATTTTGTCAGATAGTTTTCCATTTCTTTTTTTCAGAGCCATGTCGATGTTGAGAGATGCTTTATTAACCACATCGACCTCTTTGAACCAGACGCATTAGGAGAAAGTGGAGCGGAGGAAGGTGATCCACTGGGACATCGTCCTTCAAGTAGTTTGTGCCCTACCACCACCGGCAATGACTTCCACTCAGAAGATGGTGACGTTGAGTCCTTTTTCAAGGACTCCAACCCAGACCAAGAGGAGCAGGAGGACCTAAAGAACGAACCGCCTCTGTTCTCCACCATGGTGCCATACACACCTTGATAGATTTGCGTGGGCTTACAACCCAGACTTCAGAGAGTCGCTCCTGGACCTCTCTCTGTCTTACTCCTTGATCAGGGTGTCGGACTTGTAAGACTCATACCCGAAGGGTTTATATGGTACCTTTACCAAGTATTTTGTCGCAGATCAGTTCAGATGATAAGTTAGAGAGAGGGGCAGTGAAGAGGTTGAGAATCCGGCGAAGAAGGCTAAGAAGTCCTGGTCTGATAGAACGTGAAAGCTACCATCCAGGAAGGGAAAGCAAGCTGAGTTCTTTTCGCAAGAAATGCGAAAAAACAACCCAATTGGTGCTTGGTTTGCAGCACTTCTCCTATTGGTCCAAGATTGGCAGAGGTGAGAGTTATCGCCGGACCTTCAGCCTTAGCCCACCAGGTAGTCCAAATACATCGTGTTGCTGGTACATCACCCCCACCGTTCAAGTGGTCCACACCAAACACGAGGATATTATAGAAAATTCTCTCTCACAGACTTCAGGAGAAGACATTTGCAGAGTTCAGGTCTGTGAAAAGGAAAGTTTCCGTGTTACAGCGGCTCTACGAAGATTCCGAACCCAAGCAGAGAGTAAGGATGGTAGAAATTGACAAACTGCTGGCTCAAAGGCTGGAATTGTAGAATTGGCAGAGCGACACTTTCGAAGCGGACTTTTGGCAAGAAGATACGCTACAACGCTAATTCAAAAAAATTAAATCAAAAAAAGGAATATATGAGTGCATATTCATTTAAGTTGTTGGAATACTGCTGGTTAGGGCAGTATATATTTTCATTATAAGTTCAAATATTTATTGAATTCATAAATTTCAGTTGTAATTTTTATATCTTGAATAATAAATGACTGAAGTATTCATCAATAATAAGTATGATTCAAGAAAAATATTTAACTCATCTCACAACAATAATCTAATAGTTGAATACAAATATCATTATTATATCTGGAAACAGAGTATAAGTAATCATCAATGACTATTGTATTTTTCAAAATGAAACCTTAAACACTTCTCATAGCATTCTCAAATAACTCAGGTAATAGTACAACACCAAACAAATATAATTTTCAAATCTAAAAATGAAATTGACACTTCATATCCAAACAAATAACTTCGATAATAATGTATCGAACACATATTTCTATATCTGAAAAAATAGATTTTCAATGTTATAATTCATCAATATATTCAAAAAGAAAAAAACTTGACCCATGCCTCAGCATTACTCTAACAAATAAAAGTATGACAAACAAATATTATTTTCTCATCTGAAAAAATAAATGGCTTACATGTATCACACATGGATGTTCAAAGTGCTGTTTGGAAATTGAATAAATCAATCTATGGGCTCAGAAAATTTCCAAAATGTTGGAAAAATTAATTCAATATTTTGATAAAAAAGGAAGGCTTTGTAAGGTCTCGAAATGATTTTTGCCTCTGTTGTAAAGTCTCAAACAAAAGTAAATTGTTCATTCTATTGTATGTAGATGATATACCTGTTATGGATACTAATGATTCTGATGTCTACAAGTTGAAAATTGTTCTCAATAATAATTTTTCTATGAAGGATTTAGGATTCGTTTCTACTTATTCAGTTATAAATATCAAACAGAATTTAGAACTTGATCAATCTGATTACTTAAAAGTTTTGGAAAAATATATCATGAGCAACTGCAATCCTATAAGTACCCCTATGGACCAAAATTTTGATTTTATTTTGTTGAAGAATGAGACTTCACAACTTTAAATGAACAGTGTAGAAAAATGATAGGAAGTCTTCTTTATGCAGTGTCAGGTACTAGACCAGATTTATGTGAAAGTGTAAATGTACTCAGTAGATTTTAGGATAAGGCAAATGATTGTATGAAGCTTTATGAAGAGTTCTCCGTTATGTCAAGGGAACATGAATCTAACATTAATTCTTAAGCCTGATAGTAAATCTGATTTGTTTGAAGATGGTTGACAATGTTTCGTGGTGTATTTCATCAGTTCGAACTTCCATTGTCTAATATAATATAAATTGATTTGAAATCCCTGAAAGAATCTGTAAAAGTAAAAAATAAAAATTTCAAATGTTAATACAAGCTTAAAATTAAAAAATATTATTACCAAAAAATGAAAAATTAAAATATTCCAAACCAAGTTACGTCACGACGTTTCGATTGTTAGTATTCACAATCGTCTTCGAGTGATAACTGGACTTATTCCTCCGAGATCTGACTATTTATAGGTCATTCGAGTGCTTTCACCTATCCCCTCTCTCCGCTTCATTGGTTTTAGCGGAAGTTGGTCGTTTTTTGCTTGATTAGCGGTTTTCATATGTTACGCATCTCTAAATACGTTGTTGGACAACATATATGCGGCTTCTTTCGGAAAAAGAGAGATCATCTCTAACACCGCATCACAGTAAGCCCCCTCACTTGTATGGACTACCCAAAATCTACAAAAAGGATGTTCCGCTCAGACCGATCATAAGCTCCAGAAATTCGGCCACTCAGAACTTCTCCAGATTTTTACTACCAATAATTAAACCACTGCAAGGTAAAACATCAATAAATTGTTGGATGTAGCCGTTACTACGTGGTAGAAAATCATAATGAAGAAAAGAGAAATGGAACTTTCTATGTTTTTCACCACTTTTATTTGTAACTAATGTTACTGCAGTTTCGTCCTATACGTAGTGTTCTTTAATCACTCCTAAAAATATAACCCTTTCAAATCAATGATATTTTTGTTTTGCGTATCCAGTTTATTCTGGAAATAATACTAATAGGACTTCTTCTTATCCTCATTACTCTAAAGTTTTGAATTTGAATGGTATTGAGATGCCCATGCAATTGAATAAAATAACTAGAGTAGAAAAACTCAATAATACTTCTGTTAATGTTTACTATTTAGAAATGAAAGCGAATTCAGAATTTGATGTAGTACCAAACCGTTTAACTAATGAAAAATTGGATAGACATGTCAAATCATTACTCATTCAAAATAAATATCATGTGAAGTTGAAAGAATATGAATCTTTGGGAAAAAACGATGATGATAATGAAAATGAGGAGATTATGTATAATTATTTTTGGAGAAAAAGTCTCTCCAGATTATTGTCACCTCAAGTATCGGAATATGATCACAAGTGTTTCTTTTGCGATCGTTGTTTGAATTATTTCACTAGTTGAATAAATTAGATGAACACAGCATTGAATGTATGGAAAGGGGGAATGAATGTAAAATTTTATTTTCTAAACAAAAATGTTTTTGGTTTGAACATTATATTTTCAAAGAAAAAATCCATTCATCATATACGCTGATTTTGAATCAAGACTTCCGCCATTCAAAGAAAAAAAATTTATTCAACACGTTATCAAAAACATGTCGCTCATAGCGCCGGTTATTATGTGAAATGCTCTTATGATGACACTTTATCTCATTTCAATATCTATCAAGGACATGATTGTATGGAGTGCACCTCAAAACCAATGGAGGATGAAGCGTTACTCGTTCAGTCAAAAATCAATGGGACCCATGAATGGGAAAATTAAATTGAGGGATGTCACTGAAAATGTTCATATTTGCGAAAAAGCTTTCCAAGAAAATGATAAGATAACAAGAGACCATTGTCATTTTACGGGGACTTTCAGGGGATTTGTGCATGCGCAGTGCAATATATTATACAAAAACCTTATGTGGTTCCGGTGGTGTTTCACAATTTTCCAGGATATGATTGTCATTTGGTAATCAGGGCTTTGTCAAAGAATGGTCGATTGAGTTTATTACCTATGAATAAAGAAAAATATATATCAGTCATGAAATATGATGAAAATACAGACATAAAATTAAAATTCATAGATTAATTCCGTTTTCTAGGAGCCTCTTTGGATGCTTCCACTTTGAGTGGAAAATGAATTTAAGTATTTACATGTTTTTTTTTCTGATTGATTTGGTCATTACATAGTGATTTCAAAAACTACACCTCACGACTTGATCTCCACAAACTTTATTTGAAAAATATATCATAAAAATACATCACAGTATAGCTTTAACAATCACTTGATAAAGCTACTGTGCTAGCGAAACATGTTGTGGTATATTTTTCAAATAAAGTTTGTGGAGATCAAATTGTGAGGTGTAGTTTTTGAAAATATATACATGTTGATGCAATCAAATTACTTACTCGGAAAGGAATATTTCCATATGATTATATTACCAACTCAGAAAAATTAGAAGAGGAGCAACTTACAAATATCGACCATTTTCAAAGCAAATTAAATGATATGCATGTAAATAATGAAGATTATGAACATGCACATGTTTGGAATTTATTTAAAATAAAAAATTTGAGGTAGTACAGCGATCTCTACATGAAGACTGACTTGATATTATTCAGTGTAGTTTTCGAAAATTTTCCAGATAAATGTCATATAACGTATACATTGTTGATAGAACTGTTATAGCGAAAGACTTGATAGCAATTGAAATGAGAAAGACTGAGACAATTCTTGATAAACCGTTATATGTTGGAATGGCTATTTTAAACCTTTCAAAAACTGTGGTATATGATTTTCATTATCATTACCAAAATCTAGTATTAACAATTGTAAATTGCTCTATACTGATACAGATAGTCTCATTTATGAACTTGTTTGTGATGATGTATATAATTATGTCAACGCAGTTAACGACCATCATATCGCACAAATATGCCATTATGGTTGATTATTTCCTAAATAGACTTTCGAACTTTCCAAAATATTTACTAATCATCAAGAATCGATTAAGATTAGCACTATAATTACTTGACACTGCAACGCCTCAATGTTCATTATTCATCTTGGTTTTTAAACTAGTGAATGTACCAAACTGTATTGTCACGAAATAAATTGTTTTCAAAAAGTCAATTTCCCTCAATTAATTATATGCTATTAACAAAAAAAGAACAAAGAAACAAAAAGGTCGTAGGGTTAATGAACGATTAAAATAATGGTCATACAATGACCAGTATCGGTCAATGGTGGAAATGTACTAAAAAGCTAATGATATTAAATTCAATGTTGTAAAACATAAAATCATTTTTCAGGATTGTTTGAATTGTTTATTCTAAGAACTCAAAAAATCAATAGCTCAAAGGATAATTTAGTCAAAATCTTATAATTCATATTCAATTGAACAAAACAAAATTGCATTGAGTTCATTTGATGACAAACGTTTTTATTAGTTGATTTAAATGACACATCAATCTGGGACCACACAATGCCACATAATGCCAAACATTAAAATGGTATGAATACTATGTTCATTTATTTTCCATTCGATGAAACGAACATGACGTTTTATCGAATGATACTTGGTTCATTAGAAGAAACTTATGAAAAATTTGATTTTTAAGAACTATCGATTGAATAAAAGCTAGAATTGTTTCTCATTCATTACATGAATCATACACTATACAAAAGTATAGCGATNCGTGCTCATAGCTCAAAGTCACCAAGGGTTTTCATTGTTATATGGTGTGTACTTAGCTCAATATCATGTGACTTCATTCAATGTTGAGGTTGAGGGGTAGTGGAAGGTTCAGAACCATCGTTAGTACCCTACTGAAGTTAAATGCACCCATCAATGAAATCGCCAGAAAGTTCACTTCATTTTATAATTCCGATTTAATTTTTGAAATATGACAACTATGATTATTTCTTTTCATTTCAGGTGTGCGGATACATATGTACGAAATTACTGTAAGTGAAGATTATTTGGTTTCAATATTCTTATACGTCGTGGGAAGAATATTGATAGCTTCAACATGGAGTAAGAACTGTATATTCAACTTTATACTAGATTACGTTTTCTTTATGTATGATAATGAAACTGTTTTATATTCAGAACATGTTTTATGGTTCTCGGCTGAATACCAATGAAACACTCCGAATTGCATTCACTTAAATCAATAATCAATACATATGTTATAATTCACTAGAGAAAAATAACTTTTTCAAAAACTTATTATTTGAAAAGGGGAAACGATCGTTACCTCTGAGTTATAACCCCTGAGTTACAGAAAGTATGATGTAAAGGACAAGTTTTACTTGTAAATAGTGAACTGTGACTTTAATTTGTAACTAACTGTATTTCACCACGCAGCACGTATTTATAAGAAAAATACGGAATAGTAAGTGTCTAGGTGTATTATGGTCACTAAACGATGCGTAGGTACCGGATCTCGACTCAACTTGATCTTGAGCGGGTCCCCTTGGATATGAACGGTAGATGTCATCCGTGTGCATAATACAACTCTCCTCAATGGAAAAAAGTTGGTTCGATATGTAGCAACTTTTAGGGTTGTACTCTTGGATCTCGTGTCTCGAAGACTAGATTTTATCTCAGGCTTCAGCAATATGGTGGTTCAATACTTCAGGAACCTGAAGGATCCTGGTAACGATGGTGGTTTCCTCCAACCTGTCTTACAAGGAAGGGATTTCCTTTCTCACGTTCAGCCTATTCCTAAAAAGGGCAAGAAAAATTTTCCAAATAACTGTAGTCCAGTCGCTTTGCTATCAGTGATATAAAAAGTCATGGAGAAAGTAAACCACCGTATCCTTAAATATTTGGAAGGCTTCATTATCTTGAGCGATCATCAATATGGCTTTCGGAAACAAATATTCGGAATAACGCAATCGAGAAACATAAAGAGTCAAAAGCTGTTGTGCTTGATATTTCTAAGGCCTCTGACCGTGTGTGGCATGAGGGTTTGCTGACCAAACTTCGATGCATCGCTTGTCGGATCATTTTTATGTATGGCTCTCCAGCTTCTTGAAAGAACGTTCCCTGCAAGTGGCCGTCGATGGATATCTCTCCAGTTTACCATCAACGCTAGTGTTCCCCAAGGATCCATATTGTCTCCAACCCTCTTTATTATATATCAACGACTTATTGGAAAAAACTAGAATCCAATATATCGCTTTGCTGGCAACAATATTCTTGTGTCGTCATTTCATTTGGATTCCAGGACATTGGCTGTGGATGCACATCTTCACCAGCAGCAGGATGTTGCATATTTCAATGAGGATCCAGAAGTGATTTTGAATTGGAGTGGAATCAATTCAATGCCACAAAAACCCATTCATCAGTTTTCTCCAAAAAGATAAATGTCTCCGACAGGACAGACTATTCCGCTTTCTGCTTCGATGAGTTTGTTTTGTTAAAATGGACACCAATATGTCTTGGCTTCTCAAAAGCTTGGAACACTGTTCCGAATCAGCAACTTTTGATGCTTTATAAAACTCAGATCAGACATTTTTTTGGAGTATTGTTCTCATATATGGAGTTCCACCCCTAAGTATGCCTAGACGCTGCTGGATTCCATCCAGAAAGGAGCCATCTGCCTGATTGGAGTCGCGAACATCACTTGCAACCTTGATAGTCTGGAACATCGAAGAAAGGTTGGAGATTTGTCTCTCTTCTATAGATACTATCACGGAAAGTGTGGAAGTGACTTGGCACATCTGATTTCACCAAGAGCGGTACATATCAGAATTATGCGACGGACTATGGCTGCTCATAGTTTTGAAGTTCAACTCGGTACATCTCAAACTCCACTGTTCAAAAACTCTTTCATTTGGAGAACTGCGTTTATGTGGAATGAACTTCCTGAGAACGTTTTTTCAAATGGATTTAATCTCCAGCGATTCAAATCCAATGGGAATCGCTACTTTCGCACAGGCACCGCTGTTAGAGCGCCTTAAGGCTTTTGCCGTAGTACTTGTTTTTTACAAAATATGCAAAAGACTATCAACGCAATGGTAATGGATTAAGGATTTTGCCGTAGTAATTGTTTTTTACAAAAGATGCAAAAGACTATCAACGCAATGGTAATGGTAAAATATGTAAACCAAGAAATGTGTTTGGTTACGTATGGTTGGTTAATTAAATCATCTAACGTTTTGTAATAAGTGTCAAGTTTGTGTTTGCATATTTTCGAATCGTTGACGTTAACGTCGCTCAATTTCAGCGGCTGGAAGACTGGATTTATCCGGAATGTTGTTACAATACTAGTATGGTATCAAAACTGGGTGAGATCCATACGAAACATTTGACAATCTGGAATGTGCTTGAATCTTTGTTATTCCAATGAACGCATTACACTCAGTTTTAGGAGTTATTAGACAGTTTTTGTTTATCAATTTGGTTTTAACTTTTTTGCAGGACAGTTCATAGTCACTTGTAAAGATTCAGAAAGTACTACGAGCCAAGTTCGTTTCTATTTTCTGCAGTGTTTCTCGAGGTTTTATCTGAAATTGGGTAGACTTGAGTAAATTTTGTAAGTTCGTCACGAATACTTAGTGCATCATTTTTCGTTGTAATTTCTACTATGTCGATGTTTATTCTTTCGAAAGACAGTTCATAGTCACTTGTAAAGATTCAGAAAGTACTACGAGCCAAGTTCGTTTCTATTTTCTGCAGTGTTTCTCGAGGTTTCATCTGAAATTGGGTAGAGTTGAGTACATTTTGTAAGTTCGTCACGAATACTTAGTGCATCATTTTTCGTTGTAATTTCTACTATGTCGATTTTTATTCTTTCGAAAGTGGTTTTAGGTGTTTCACTTATGACTAATTGGTTATTAAAATTGTTCGACAAATTTAACGNTATTGCATATTTTGAATGTTATATCCTTTTGAGCAAAAATGAAACATAGAATTTCTAAAATGGGAAGTTCAGGATTAGTTTCAATGCAATATACTTTAGAGGAATCTAAATCATTTTGACTTCTATACAGGGTGAGAAACAAGTGTTCAATCACCGATTCTGGATCATAAGTGAGAGGAACTATATAATGTTTTCTGTTTTTTATTGTTTTGCTTGATACAATATTTATTTTGAGATTTCTGAATTCGTAATCTTCTTCGAGAATATCAGAATGTTTTTATTTTCTTTATCGAGAAATTGGCAATTGGAATACTCGACTTTTGAATAATCAATCAGAGATGTTGTTTTGTATAAATTTACGAATGTTGTGAACTCTTCGGTTATATGTTCTGATGTATATTCTGATTGATCGCCTTCACGGTTTTCGAAGTTTTCAGGGTTTTCAATGTTTTCAGGGTTTTCAGGGTTTGCTTCGGATTCTTCTGGTTCTTGTACCGGATCTTGGATTATTTCAAGATCTAGTTCTTCATTTGTTGGCAAAATGAAGGTACCTGAAGGTATTAGTTTTGTATTAAAAACGAGACAGGCTTTTGTGGAATCAACTTTGATTCTTGAAAGTGCGTCAGCGTTTTTATTTATTCTTCCGGGTTTATATATAATTTCATAGTCGTATTCTTCAAGCTTTAAACGCCATCTTGCGAGTCTACTTCCTGGATCTTTTATGGAAAATAGCCAAGTTAGGGGTCTATGGTCCGTAATTAGTTTAAATTTTCTACCGAAAAGGTAGGGCCTAAAATGTTTGACTGCCCATACTATTGCCAATAGTTCTCGTTCGATCGTGGAATACTTTGATTCTGCGGAACAGAGAGTTCGTGATGCGTATGCAATAGATAGGTCTTTGCCAATAGGGCCTTGGGATAATACGGCTCCAATATCGTATGCGCTTGCATCTATAGTCAAAAGAAATGTGTCTTCAAAATTTGGGTATATTAGAATTGGAGTTGAAACAAATGCTTGTTTTAATTCTTCGAATGATTTTTTACATTCATCATTAAAAATGAAAGGTGTGTCTTTTTGAAGTAGTTTCGTGAGGGGTTTTGATATTTTAGCAAAATTTGGGATAAATTTTCTATAATATCCGGCTAATCCGAGGAATGATTTTATACTTTTCTGGTTTTGAAGTTCTGGGAATTTATTATACAATCGACTTTGAATATTACCGGAGTTTTTTCCCAACACCAAATCGTTATTTTTACACCTCGACGCGTGTTTCGATCACCAAGTGATCATCTTTAAGAGGAAGATAAAACTTGAAGATGATCACTCTGGAAAATTTAGGTTGGGATCCAAATTCAATGTTTGTATTTGTGTCTGAATTTCTGACGTTGGGTCGATAGGAGGGTCTGCTGTTGTTGAGCCAAATTGAAAATCCTAATTGAATTGACTTTGCGGGTAATCAACAGATTCAACGTTCGGGTTTTTATGGAAATTTTGATATGTTGGAAAACTAGCTGCATAGTCTTCGTATTCGTAGGGGTTTTCAGAAAATTCATTAAAATTTTCTTGATAACTATCTATTTTGAATTTATAATTGAAGTGAAAAATTCTCCTTTTTCATTTACTTTTACTAAGGCGTTTGGAAAACGAACATTTTCTTTATTCTGAGCTACCAGTATAGCATCAGTATTTGAGAGATGACATTTTAATTTAAAAATTCCTTCTGTCCGAGGTTCGATTTCTATAGTATTTGGAATTTCGTCTTTTAAATATTGGTAGTAGTCAAATTTACTTTCAAAAGCATAATTGTCAGGATGGTATTCAAAAATATCGTCAAGATCTGCGGTTGATGTTTCCGGGTCCAACGTAACTTGGTATTTCTTTTCTGAATTTTGACAATTTGGGGAAGATTCTGGTACATTATTCGAGTCTATCACTTTGAAAAGGGGTATGGTTTTGAAATCAGTTATTAATTGTTTGTTTTGAAAATCAACAACACAATGATAGTGTTCCAAAAAATCAGCTCCGAGAAGTCCGTCAAAGTCTATGTCAAGATTGTGTATGTAGATTTTGTGGGGGTCAGTGTCTGAAAAGGGC